TATTATAAATCAAAAAAAAATATTTATATAATATATACAAAAATATATATATATATATATATATATATATATATATATATATACACACACACACACACACACACACACACACACACACACACTAGGAATCGATTAAAAATTAAAAATAATAAACAAATTATAATTTATCTATTTTTATAAAAATTAGCTGATACATGGTGTCCAGGAGCATGCCACCATGAAATTTTTGTTTTATAGATGCTGGAAATTTTGTTTTATAGATGCTTGGGCAATCAGTAATTTCTTTTCTTCCTTTTTTCTGTTTTATTTACTAATAAGTGTGACGGGGGGGGGGGGATTGGCTTGGTTCCCCCTTGAAATCCGTTCCTGTGACGGGTTATAGTACTGGATGCTCAGTACGTTCCCAAATGCTGGGGAAATTGAACCCATGACCTACAGATAACTAGCCTCTTGACCAGCATGCTTGCACTTGGTGGATGGGGATGAATCCAAGCAGCAGCGGGTACTGCAATGCTATTCCATTTCATTTTCATTTCAACAACATTTATTCGAACATATATAAACATGCATGGAAATAAAACAAATGAAAAAAAAAAGGTCAAGGGACGACATAGAAACTCTTACGAGTCCGTCACTGTTGCCCCTCTTCAAGACAGCAAAAACAACCTTAAACATAAAAATTAACAGAAAATAAACACTCCCCCATATAAATAAGATAAACATAATGTTTTCCGATGGCGTTAAGACACCAGGCAAGTTAAGATCCACCTGAATTAAAGGCTGGTTATAAACAAAATATTACAATTATCCTGAGTATTTTGAAAATACACTGCAAATCATTTGCCTAACAATAGACTCTCGAGTTTCTGCTATGCTAACTCTAAAAGAGGTCTATAGGCCTACTATATCAATTATTAATAATCAATAAACTTGAAAATAATAATAATCATTATTATTATTTATTATTTTGCTTCACAGGACATTACTAATACATGTTAATGTACGTATATGCAGGCTATAAAACAAATTAATGATTACACTTCAAATACTAAAAAAATTCAAATGATGATACAAATTAACCTCCAATTGGTTGCAACTATCAAAACTCAATCTGGATGAATTATACATTAAAAAAATCTTGAATACTTACATCACATCAGAGAATTAGTATTCATCATTTACATGTTGTCTATGCTTATCCTTGGGCCATCACGCATGAGAGCAGTTACTAACCACTAGCCTCTAGTGACAGTTCTAGTCTCTAGACATTCTCTTCAGCAAGCTTAATACTGCCAAATTATTTAACCTTCCTTTGTCTTTGTGGTTAAAAAAGTTCTTACTAACCTTTAGCTTTATTAAACTAAATACTATTGACTTGCATTATTGTTGTTCAAAATATTTTTTTCTTATTACAGTAGTACCCTTCCTTTGGGACAGCCCTCTTCATGGGACACTTCATGAAATGAGGGGAATACCATATTTATCTTTTAAGACTAGAGCTGTGACCCCTATTAAGGAAACGGGGACACTTTCTGAGTGTGAAAAATAGTCAAATAACCTCAATTTAGGGGACACTTAAATTTTTTTTGTATCAACAGTAACTACAGCAGTTTCAAAATAAGAAAAATTCATCAAACTATATATTTTGACACCTTTAGCAATAAACCAGAATTTTCTCCCCTGAATCCTGTAAGTGAACATCGACAGGGCTGGGACCAGGATTTGTCCGATGGGATTCCGAGGTCCCAGACGGGAGAAGGGTGATGTCGCTGACAAGAACAAAGAGGTTGGGTGTTGCTAAAAACATTTGAAAGCCCGAAAACTGTTGACAATTTTTGGGTTTCAAAGGCATTCTAAATCAATTGTAGAACCTACTAATATGTAGAAAGTACATAAATTTTTTTATTCTTCCCAAAATACTGTGCTTGAGTGAGGGTCAAGTCTTGCAAGCGCGAGCAATTAGACTGGGGCCAACGGGTAGACAAGGGCCACCGGAAAGGGGTCTGGGGGTCCAGAGGTGGAAGGCCCCAGAAAATTTGCGTTAGAGTATTTTATGTGATAAAAGATAGAATTGAGAGGTTTTACCACTTCATTTCTATAAAACCTCTACCAAAAAACAAAACAAAAAAATTGTAAACTAGAAAAAAAATTTGGTACGAGACTTCACACTTCCCTGGTTTCCACCAACAAAGGGTATTAAAGATTATATTATAATCATGAACCTCAGATGGAGTCCTATCTTTAAATAGGTCTTAAAAGCAGGCATGGTGTTTCATTATCTACTATACTGTAAGAATTTCAAATAGAGAAGGCCCAGAGGACTTTCACAGGTGTAGATGTAGACACTTAAGCCTCCCCATAGTTGGGACTGAGTTTATTAAATTTATGATTATGGTATGTCTAGAAGCTCGGAAATGGCACCCTCAAACCTTTTCTCTCAACTTTATTTATAATTTTGAAAATTAGGGGGCTCAGGCCAGCTCACTGCCACCCTGAATTCGCCTCTCATTATTTTCTTTAATACTGTAGTATTGCACTTTTCCCTGATTATACCAAATAATACTGTAATAAATTAGTGTTTTCATTTGCTACATCGATATTAAAGGGAAACCAGAGTGTTACCATGATTGTAACAAAATATTATATAATAAAATTATTGTACGCACAACATTATATTTATAGGTGACACTGCGTATATGCTGGCTTTTGGCAACAGAGGCAAGGGTCACCAGTTACTCTGTATAATATATCATACTTTTACACATTACCGATCATTCCTTTACTACTATAATCATTTCTTTTTTTTGAGGGAGGTAAGAACCCTCTTGACATCATTTGGTTGCGCCCTTAGTTCCCTGTACCCCTCTCACTAGTACCACCCCTGCACATTAGTAATATTCATACTGCACGCATTGCATAAACCATTCTCATCAATTTTGACTCTTAAGTAAGTTCTTTTTCTTGTACATTTTTCATATGGGATTCAAATCCATACCCCAAGCTTTTGCAGAAATTGGTCCATTAATTTTTAGCATGCACTCACAGATTTTGATATTATCTTCAATACCTTGCACAGAGGCATTTTGAGATATAAAGTATAACAAACTGATGATGTAGTGGTTATAATAAAACCTTTATAAATTCACAGGATTTCAGTTCAAATGGCTACCAGTGAGCTGGATCAATTTCTGGAAGCTGTTGATGAGAATGTATTAGAGTCTGGAAAAACAGAAAGAGATCAGACAAAATGTAGTGTTTGTGAAAAGGAAGAACAGGTAAAATACTACTGCCAGGATTGCAGACAGTACTTGTGCTCTACTTGTAGTGATCAACATAAGAAGTACAGACTCTTTGCCAATCACAGGTTACATTTAATAGAGGATGTGCAATCAATGAGCCCCTCTCAGATGACTTTGTTACATCCACCTCTGTGTTCACATCACAATAAACCTTTGGAGTTCTACTGCACAGATTGTGAAACTCCAATCTGTGTGAATTATACAATTATGGACCACAAGCAATGGGAAGGGAAACACAAATCAATGAGCATTCAAACATTTGAAGAAGTGTCAGCCAACTTCAAACAGTCAGTAGAGCATAATGTTGAGGTATTGCATATGAAAATGGGAAATAACGATGTCGGATGCACTGAGAATGAAGACTTGCAAAAGCAAGTGGTGAAGCTTAAGTCATTGTTGACTACCAAACGAGAACAGGTTGCAACTCTGCGTAACATGGTGAAAGCAAGTAAAACCACTGCTGAAGTTGCATTGTCAAATCTCAAGAGTAAGTACCAAAGTGAGAAGCAAATTATTGCAGAAACGATGATGAAACTAAGAGGAGAGTTGAAGGCTCTTAAGGAGGACGCTGCAACGTTCACCACTCTACGTGCTTTGTTTGCCAGCCGCTGCGATGAGTATGTCACCCAGGTAGATGAATACCAACGACAGCTACTCTCAGCTGAGGAAGAGAAGAGGACATTGAACTCGTTGCTCCGGATGGCAATCCAGCAAAAACTAGCAATGACTCAGCGCTTGGAGGATTTAGAGTTCCGCAATGAGACACAGACTGTCCGCAAACAGACATTGGCTTCAACATCACGTAAACATTGGTTTTCCAAAGTGAGTTCTCCTAAATCTTTATGTCCATTACCAACAAAACCACCACCTATCAAAACTGATTTTGTTTCCAAACCACCTCCATCTAAAATACGCCAAGACAAATCGTTGAGAGAATATAAATTTATATTTAGTATTTAAAGTGTTGAGTTCTATGATTAATTATTTTGTTCTGCGGCTACACCTACACCCATCATGGCTTTAATGTAATGTAGTGCTATTTGGTTTGTGTTTCTAGCATTCTGTCCACATATAGGAACACAACAATCACCTTATTTATAATATTAATTTACATTTATATACTACCTATTGCATAGTGCCAATATGTACTTTGCACCAAATTATAAAACAAAAAGTATGATGATTTAACAACAAAATGAGGCGTGGTATTTTATGCATACCTATGTACTGCATTGACCTACATGTATATATTGACATATCTATATAATAGGTAATACTCTTAGCAACCTAATTGACTTGTCTGGCATGCTTAATATCATTTTCTGTTGAGATGGATGATCTGTTGATATACAAATTTACCTTATTAGGTCTATGTGAACGTGTAAGGTATGGATTACAATGAACCAAGAATGTTTTATAAAAAAATCCTTGCATATATTGTAGGCTTAGTCCAAAGAGTAGGCATCCCGGGCGCCATGTGGCGGGTGGCTTTAAATAATTTTCTTTTATAAAATCTTGACCACCAATGGACCCCAATGAATGGGAAGGGAAACACAACAATTATCAACTTTTCTGATGTATTCCAAACATTTAAGAAACTTCAGCCACCTTGGTTGCCCAACTCTTCAAAATACAAAATGGTCTCAAAGCTGTTATCTACATAGCTACAAAAATTAAAACAAAGTAAAAGATACAATTTGAGAGATATAGACAATCATTTAAAGGAAATGATGAAAAAAGAGAGCAGACAAATAAAAAGTAAAGAAAATCTACAACAGAAAAAAGAAGAATGATATACAATTGGATGAATTGAAAGCAACTATATCTGAAATAAGAGAGTACATTAAGTTTATCAATTATTATCGAACAGTAATGCAGTATAGCAATACATTAATTTACTGCACTTAAGGACAGAATAATGAACTGCCAAAAACAGAGCCAGATGATAACGGAAAAAATTTACTTCTTTGGAAAAACGGCAAATTGCTGTATACATGATGGTAATATACAGTATAGCCTGTGAATCCAGTTAGACCAACTTGAGCTACTTGTGCACTTTTAATCTGATTTGTCTTGTTTGTTTGTTTATATTCCATTAACTAATAAATAAGGTAGTGCACACATTTGAATGTCAGTGCCACGGTTATGAATCTAACTTGATTTAAAATGTTGCTATACTAGATTAAGAAGTTCGATATTATCTTGTGTAAAAATAACGTTTATGTCTATTTATGTCTATGTTTTACCAGAGCCTGTTAGTGGCGATGAATCGCTGTTGGTCTGATGAAATGAAATAAATGATGTAAATAAATGATGTATTTATCTAATAATGCTTATGTCTATATCAAGTCAGTTTAAATGTCAGTATTATATGCACTAAATATATATAGAATATAAACCTTGTGTACAAAAAGTGTATCAAGTGTGGCTGTTAAAAGTTTGATGTAAACTTAATGACTTAACTTCATTGTACCATGTAATTATATTAAAAACATTGAGAAGTTAGATAGTATTTTGTGTACAAATAATGTTGGTATCTATATGTAATAATATAAACCTTGTGTACAAATAGTGTTTGTCATGCAAAGGTGATGTAATCCATGTGTAAACTTAATGACTTCACTTTATTCATTGTAGAATGTAATATTATATCAGAAATATTGAGAAGTTAGATAGTATTTTGTGTACAAATAATGTTTGTGTCTATATATAATAATATAAACCTTGAAATAATGTTTGTCATGTGTACCTGCGTTGAAGGTGATGTAAACCATGTGTAAACTTTTGACTTCACTTTATTCATTGTAGCATGTAATATTATAACAAAAATATTTAGAAGTTAGATAGTGTACTACCTACTGTACCTAAGTGTACAATTAATGTTTATGTTTATGTATTATAATTATTATAAACCTTGTGTAAAAATAGTGTTTGTCATGTGAAGTAATAATTAACTTTACTTCATTCCAGCATGTGATACTAATAAAAATATTGAAACAATATCTTGTGTAATTAATGTTTTAGTCTATGTCCTCTTTAAAGGTATTATTCAGCAATGACTTACTACTGTAGCATGTAAAATTACACTAGATTGATTGGTTATGTTTGTGTCCGTCATCTGCACATGTCAATAATTATGATGCACAAATGACTCACCTTTATTGTAGCATTTAGGTATATTAGAATAGATAATGATATATTATATCAAGCTTACTTCTCAATAAAGTAATACTTGACTTTTACTTAATTGTAGCATGTAATTAAAAAATATTATATATTGTTGTGTATAAATAGGGTGTGTCATGGATGTATTATAGCAATTACTGTACTTAACCTTAACTTATTGTAGCATATAATTATACTAGATAAAACAAAAATGTTGATACACACTTGTGTACAAAAATATTTGTATCTATGCCATGTTTATAATAATAATAATAATAATAATAATAATAGCAACAACTAGCACTAACTCTGACTAAGGGGAATATCTTTTGTGTTATTTTAACTTAACATTGTTTTCTTAATTGTTCTCTACATTCTCCATTGTCTAAGCTCCCCTTAAGGTAGGTTTTAGTAACATAATAATAATTTAAAAAAAAAAGAATAATAATTATTAATAATAATAATAATAATAATAATAATAATAATAATAATAATAATAATATAGACTAGCACTGACCAATTCAAAAAAGGCACTAAATGAGGAAATAGGTCAAGTTAACATTCCTGTAATAAACAAGATATTATATTTTTCTTAAAAGAAGAAAAATAAGCAAATGGCGAACTGAAAGCAGCAATGAATTTTATGTAAAACAGGTTTGAAAAGAAAAGGCACGTTGACCATAAGTTTTTGTTTTGCCTTTTTTATGACACTGTCAAGGGGTTTCTAGATGAAAAATTAAATTTAGATGAAGAACAATTACATAAATTAGAAATGATAATGTAGCAATGACTGAACTTATTATATGTGATTATACTGGATATAATGAAAATATTGATACAATCTTGGGTACAAATAATGTCTATCTACGCCATGCTTCCCTGTCAAAACTGTAAAATAATGCTGTAAGAATTCTTAACTTTATTATAGCATGATATAAACAGTATGTTGATATTAAAGTTTGTGGAAAAATGATGTTTGTGTCTTCGGTCTATGCACATGTGTACATTTCAAACATTAGCTCAACCCGCCCTCAATAAACTAACGTTACGTTATCTCACTATATTAATTGGATTAACACATTATCAAGGATAAGTACTGAGTGTCCTTGGATTCAACTATAGGTAAACGGATTATTTGCTTTTTTTTTATGAGGTTTTAATTGTTCTTTACCGCCGAAAGCGCGGTATTCTAACGTTAGTATATGGAGGGCTGGTCGGCCTAATGAAGCTGTATAATTATGATTTAACAAGTAAATTTGAGAGAAACTAATAGAGAAAAATAGCTTGGCCATCCCACCTTCTGCCTAAAAGTAACTTACAAAGTGACTAACATTCAAATAGTGTATGAAAATTCCAGATACTGCACATCCATATACTGTATACAGTACCTCATTGATCGAACCAAGGTGCAGAAATACATGGAAATAGTACAATAATCACAAGACCCATGAAAACAAAGGAAGATTCTTCTTGCTCTAAATATAATCTATCAAATGACTGAGTCACTCATTTTGTTATTCTTGTATATATCTGTAGTTTACATAGTAATACTCCAATGCCCAGGGACTAGTTGATGTATATATATATTTTCAATATTATTCTTATAAACCTGGTTCTGCCAAATAATGTGATTTAAAATGGCAGGACTGGGGCAGACTTATAGGGTGAAGGCTGATCAGGATGTTTTTTCCTTTAGCCATCAGAGAAATTAATATACAGTATAAATATTTAGTAGATTTTGCTTGCATTCACTCATTATTGTATTTCAAATTTCTTAGTGTATAGTTAGACTATAAATCATCTGAATCTGAATAGATGTATGTACAGTATAATTGATTCAAACTGTTAGTGCAATTTACTTGATATTAAAATACATTATAAGTACAATTCAAATAAAATAATATTGGATAAAAACTAAATGTAATAATAAAATAAAATTATGTAATCTCTTAATCTAGATAATTCCTCACCTCTTGTTCCTTGGCTAACTCTGCAGCACTCTGCTTGTTCTATGATCCTATTGATGTTGCACCATTTGATTATCAAAGTCTGCAATATTCTTCCTAGCATTCTCCATGTTTGTTTGTAATACTCGCTTCCAGCTTTTTTCTTATTCTTCCCTGCAATGCTAGACTCCAGCTGGCATTGTTTGATATGCTGAGGAGGAATTCAAAAACTCGACTAAAGGATGAAAAACAGTCATATAAGGACAGACAAAAATATTAGTGCTTTAACTTTTACACAGTTTTAAAACTTGTATATTTTCTCTTGGTTTTTTTGCATGAAATTAAAACTAACAAGCACACAACCGAGTGTATATTTATTATAATTACACCTACAGACACTGTGAATGAGTAATATGTGTTGAGTCTTGATTATTCTTGTATATATGTATATATTTATGATTTCTTATAAACCTGATTCAGCCTAAATAAATAATCTGATTCAAAGTGGTGGAAAAGGGGACTACTTAAATAGGGTGGGGGGGGGGAGTGTAAGCATTTTATCCTCTCATCATCATAAAAATTAAAATATACTGTATATTATTTAGTAGTTATCGTAAGTAGATTTTGTTTGCATTCATCATAAATGCTAATCTGTACTATGTTTCTTCAAGTATACTTTGACAATAAATCATCTTAATCTGTATAGATGTATGTACAGTATAATGTTATTCATTTTTTGTGGCTTACTTTGTAGTAGTTCTACTGTTATCCAGTACACAGTGGTTTGTGGTCATGTATTACAGAGAACTGTATCGGATGATCACTTGAGATTGAATTTCATGATTAGTT